ATTCTTTTTATTTAATGATTTATTTGTGATATTATATGCATCCACATATTTAATGACTTATCATATATGATTGTAAATTACAATTTTACATTGTATTATAATTAACTATATGTATCAAAATTGTTCATTGATACCAATGATCTAAATAATTTAATAATAATATTCTTTTAATTGAAATAAAAGATCATAAGTTCAAATTGTATGATATACAAGTGGAGTAAACTAAGAGATATAAAAGAATTCTTAACATAAAAAATAAAAAATAAAAAATAAAATTTCATTCAATGGTTAGGACTTGTAGCAGAAGGATAAGGAGGAGTAACATGCATTTATATTTTCATGGTATGGAATTGCGCCACAAATTAGGGAAATAATTAATTTTAATCGGTCAACTGATCCATGTATATCCATCTTGAATTGATTAGTATTTAATGACTTATTATGATTGCAAATTACAATTTTACATTGTATTTTAATTAACTATATATATCAAAATTGTTTATTGATACCAACTACCTAAATAATTTAATTATAATTTTTTAAATTAAAATAAAAGATCATAAATTCAAAGTGTCTAATATACAAGTGAAGTGAACTAAGAGATAAAAAAGAGTTCTTAACACAAAAAATAAAAAATAAAAAAATAAAATTTCGTTCAATGGTTGCACTTGTAGCAGAAGGATTAGGAGGAATAACATGCATTTATATTGTCATAGTCTGGAATTGCGCCATAAAATAGGGAAATAATTAATTTTAATCGGTCAACTGATCTATGTATATCCATCCTGAATTGATTAGTATTACTGAATACTGCTCCATTTATATTTCATTCCCCCATATTGGAACATGGTTATTACCCCAGAAGAGAATGTTAAGGTCACATAAAATATAATTTATTTAACAGTTGATTATAATATATTAAAAATATCAATTTATAATTAATTTTAATTTATGAAATAATAAATATTAATTATTTTATAAATATAAAATTCGTTTATTAATTACATATTGATTATTAATAATTATAATTATTAATTTTTTAAATAATCAAATCAAATAAAAATAATATTTTTAAAAATAATTTTTAATAGTGAAAAAGATGCATATAAGTTATTTTTAATAAAAATTAGAATTCTAACATTAAATTATGTCGTTTTATTTAATTAAAATTTAATTTAAAATACATAAATTTTTCTTATTAAATATGGATATTTAGATTTAAAAACTAATTAAATTTTTAAATTTTTAATTGAGATTTTTAATTCCTAAATATAAATTAAGATTCTAAATGTTTAAAAAATCAAAATTGAAACAAACTAATCTCTTTAATAATTTATGTCGCTTTAACATTTTGATACACGGCAAGAACCATGCACCCATATTCCTTTTAAATTCTATTGCCATTGTTGTTTCTTTGGTTAGGTAAGCTGCTTGAGAAAACTTCACCTCTTACCATAACCTCTCTTTTTTTCATTATTTTTTTTGAATAAGAGAAATTAGATTTGGAGACGACCGGATGCTATTGCCAGGATTTACTCAAAAACACACCGAACATTATAGTCTGACTAATTAACCATTTGAACCATCACGACCAGTCATTTTTACCACAGCTTTAACATTTTTCTTTTTTAGCGCAAAACTCTCTTTTTATATTGATATTTTTAGTATTACCTAATATAATAACTTAAAAAAAAATCACGACTTACAATTCTAATTACATAATAAATAAAATTTAGATGAGATTTATATTATATTTCACTTATTTTATAATTTTAATCTAACATTCTGTTATTTTTAATGTTAAAATGATTTAATTTTTCGCATTCTCTAATTAATAGTTATCCTTAAAAAAAAAAAATCCTCCCTCAATATTTGAAAAAGAAAAAAGAAATATCATAAGAAAATGGTCATAATTCTAGGGTTTTTGCATCCCAAATTGGATGTATCACAAAATGCGTGCGTTGTCCTAATTATGAAAAAATGGAAAAGAAAAGGAAAGAGAGAGAGAGAGCAAAATTTAACTCCCTTGTGTGTCAGCAAGCAAAACATAATTAAAAATAATAAGAAAGAGTCTTGCAAGGTACATTAACACATCTTAGCTTAACATAAACCAAACAAAATATTATGTGTACATTTATAATATCATTTGATTTTATAAATTTACAATTATAATTTGTTAGTATATTATTAACTTTTTTTTTATTTAGAAACTTTCTTTATATTGTATTTATACATTTAATGATATACTATGATTTTAATTTTATGTGACATTACAAGTTCTAGCTACTTAGGGGTGAACACTGTTCGGTTTTGGTTATAATCAAAATAGAATTACTAGTTAGCAAAATTTCATATTTTAAATTTTAATAATCATTAACCAAATTATAAAAGATATGTTTTATCAATTTTGATTATATTTTTTAGAGTAACTATTTGGATTGGTTTTGATTTTAATCAAAAAATAATTTTTATATTTTTAGTAACTTTTTGAATTCTTAATTATTATTTTATTAATTTCAATCACTAAAAAAATTAAAAATTATTCAAACAAATAAATCATTAGGTGAAAAATGGCTAAAAAACCTTAAAAAATGTAGAAATTATTAAAAATTTTATATAAAAGGTTTCTTGTCTAGATTTTTCTTCGGTTATACTCATCTTAATAATTGATTTTTCAGTTTTTAGACTTAGTAAACCAAAACCTAAACCATTTAAATTTTAAAATCAATTTGATTTGATTTTTATTTAAACAAATTCAAAACTTAATCCAACTCCACCCGTTAGTTACAATGTCATCGATATTCAAATTTTTTGGGGTTGCATATTTTTTGGTCCACCCCCAATTCTACCTCATGTCCATTCACTCCACATCCTTTTGCATTCTACTGCCCGTAGAGAAAATTACCAAAATTAATAAAAATACCATTTTTAATTATTGAAATTTCATGTTTATTTTAATATGAAAAGCTGGAATGTGTTCTTTTTAAGAATTAAGTTATTAATAAATTTAGAAAAATTTACTTTTGTTATGTTTAAAGAGAAATTAACATGTAAATTATACAACTTATTTTTTAAAAATGTTACAAGTAAAATAAATAAAATTGACCACCGGTAAAAGAAACTTATAATAAAATAAATAGAATGACAGATCAGCATGACTCGGACCAACCAATCACCACGATTCCACCCCACCACCTCATACTCTTATAGCCATCCCACTGAACGCATCCCCTCCCAGAAAAAGACTCAGAAGCAGCCATAGAGCTCCCCGCCACCGCGCGCGAGGTCTCCAGACCTCCGCAAGCCCCCTACCTCGGGGCTGTGCCCATGACCCCTTCCGAGTCTCTACCACCACCCCCACCACTCCCGCCGTCCAGCACGCCACATGAAAAACCCCAATCGCGGCAACCATCACTCATGCAGCCGCTCTACAAGCAAAGATCCTGGTCACCGGACATCTTCCGCGACGAAGCATGGCTTCGACGCAAAGGAAACAGCAAGAACCGGAGGAGCAAGAGTGTTACGGACGAGGACCTTGACGAGCTCAAGGCCTGTATCGAGTTAGGTTTCGGATTTGACTCACCCAAGGCAGATCGAGATCAACGCCTTTCCGATACTCTACCCGCGCTCGGACTCTTCTATGCCGTTAATAAACAGTACAACGATGCCGTTTCGAAGTCCACTTCGTCTCTCTCCACTGTCTCCGATGGTGAAACTCCCTCTCCCATGGGCAGTCCCCCCGCCATATTCGGACCAGGTAATTAATTAATTTAATTTAAATTAAATTCAATCAAACAACGTGGTTTCGAGTTCTGATGTTTTAATATTTGATTTTTTTTTTTTTTTAGCTGATAATCCACAGACGATGAAAACAAGGCTGCGGCAGTGGGCGCAGGTGGTTGCGTGTTCTGTGCGGCAGAGATAAATCTAGATATTATCAGGACAGGTTTAACCGAGAACCAAACATCATCATGATAATCTGGATTTGATACCATTCGCCACCACAACCACCGACCTTGCTTCGTCTCAGACAATGAAAAATAAAAAAAGAAAGAAAGGCAAAAAAGAGAAAGCAACGTGAAAATCCCGAAAACTCTGTGGTACTAGATTTGACTTTTTCATTATTTGGTTTTGTCTTTTTACCTTTTTTTTTTTTTACCAATTTACGTTGTTTAAGGTAGAAGCTGTCTGAATTGTGATGTGAATCAAGGTCAAAAGATGAAGAAGATTTTGTTTCTGTTTTTGTTTTGTCTTTTTTTTTTTTTCTTTTTAAAAAATGATTTTTTATTTTTTATTTTTGAAAAAAATGCTTTGTTTTGTAGTACAATTATTTTTCAAAAATATTATTATATAGTTAAATTGTGTCATACTTTATAATTTAAATTATTAAAACTATTTTTGCTCAATAATTTTTATTTTATAATCTAAAAAATAAATTACAAAATAAAATTTTCTTTTTCAATACGAGTAATCCATGTTTTGTGAAAAAAGAAAATCTTTTAATTAATTGTGAGAATATATACCGGTTTTTCTTTGGAGATTCCGTGGCCTGGCCTTAATCGGTAGAGCTTGCGTGATTTGATGAGCAGAACACGTTTTCTTTCGTGTGTAAAGGAGGGATTTGATAATTAAAATTTGGAAAACTAATGTACCTAGATATTTTGTATTATGCTGCCTCCCATTAAGTAGGATTAGCACTTTTGAGATGGGTCTGAGGTCTTCATCTTCGTAGCATCAAATAGTATAAAGAGGGGCTGATGATGATAAATATCAGAATTCTAGTTGCTCGAATCCAATCTAATTTAAATGATTTTTATTTTCAAAAAATATTCTCTCCATTCATTTTAAATGGATTTAGTTTGATTTTTAAAATTTTAAAATCTAAATTTTAAATAAAAATTTAATAATTTATACGAATAATAATTAAAATTTTATTTTTTCTTATATGTAATTTTTGTTGAATATTTTAATTTAATCAAAAAAGTTCTCAATTATTATTTATATAATATATTAAATTTTCATCTAAAATTTATGTTTAAAAAGTCAAAAACTTAAATTAAACCTATTAAAAATGAGCAGAGAGAGTGTTTTAGTGTCGATTCAAATAAATTTATGGCACAACATATCCATTGATTGGTAGGAGAACATTTGTTTTGGTATATTCAACTTGTTGAAAGGTTTTTCTATGAAGACGGTTTTTCTCACCCTTAATATATTTCTTTAAATATGTTGTCAGCAACAACAATACAAGTTATAGATTTAAGGATGCTTGTGACTAGGGAAAAGGATGGGATAATGCATTGGCCAAACTCCCAAATTAGCTCACCAAGAATGGGGGTAGGGAGAGATTTATTTTCTAACTAAATGCAAGGACAAATTACTCTAAATTTAACAGTTAACATCATATGACATTCAATACAGCTAAAAAAAGTCATGCAAGCAAGAAAATAATGGAAAGCTAATGTTAAATGATATCAACAATTAAATTTAGGGTAATTTGTTCAACCTAATTAATTGATGGGACAATTTGTCTGTGCATTTAATTTGAAGATGGATTTGTCCTTGCGTCTATACTTGGGGATCAAATTTGTGGGTTTGGCCTAATTCATTTCAACAACTTTGAGAAGTTGAGGGAGTTTATTAAGGGACCATTGTCCAACTACTCCATAAGTTGGAGGATGATTTCCCCTTTTTTTTCCTAACGAATATAGAGCAATAATTTAATCCTCAACTCAAATCCCATTTTATTGAACATAAAGAAAAAAAAAAGGTTTAATTTTCCTTTTTGTTTTTTTTCTTTTGGCAAAAGGTTTTTTTTTAGTTCTTCTACTTAAAAAAAAGTCCTTTTATCCCTAAAATTTGAAATTCAATCTCATTTTAGTCCCTCTATTAAGTTTTACATATGTGGCACGATAAATAACAAAAATTTCAAAATAAAGAGAGCAAAAAGGTGTTCAAATTTGGACCCTCCATTTTGGAAAAAGAAAACCATTTTTTGATCCCTCTTCTTTGAAATTTCTGTTAGCTAATGTCAAAACTTAATAGAGGACTAAAAAAAAGTTGGATTTCAAATTTTAGGGACCAAAAAGAAGTTTTTTTAAATAAAGGGATTAAAATGGGCTTTTTATCAAAATAGAGAGATCCAATTGGAGTTTTAACATTAAAAAAAAAAAAAAAAAAAGTCTCATCTAACAGAAAAGGTGAAGTGCAGTTCGGCAAAATGCACTTCTTATAAACATTGATAAAGAAGCAAGTCCTCTAACATTAGGGGTCATTGGGTTCTACTCTTCTATCAGTGGTTAAAAAAATTCTATCTGCACTTAAAACGAACATTCCCTTTTACTGATATCAAATCCGCAGTTGCACGACTAGTATTTACTAATTCGTGGAGATTGGCCCATTGGTAAAGATTTCAGCTACAAATGGGCTGTTAAGGGTTACGGTGCTTGATCAAGAGCCCAGTAATAGCAGCCAGTTAACTGGGTGTATATCCGAATTCCATTAAGGACCTATTAAATCAAGGCCCATAATAAACACCTCAATCAGGAGATTCACTGAAAAATATTATGAGAGGTGGCAAGCAATTGATGTTCTCAAAGCTGATAGTCATTCCCTTTCCCAAAAGCCAATCCCACTATTTACACTCTAAGACTTTTTTTTTTTTTTTAACCATGAACACCTTAAATTAATTTTTATCTTGATTAACACCTTTTATAATTTGTAATTTATAAATAACTTAAAAAGTGTAATGATCCATCACACACCTGTTACGTGAACATTAAATTTCATTAGATGAAACAATATGTGGCACTTGGGCATTACATGGCCCCGTTAATCTAATTTGGATGTTTTTTTAATGACATGGCTGCCACGTGTTCATCCACCTAAACATTTTAATCAAATTATTTTAAATTTTAATGAATAATTATGTTATATTTTTTATTTGAAAATAATTGTCATTTTTTAATTTTAATTTTATCTTAAATTATTTATTTTTTATTTTTTAAGATAAATAAATATTTTTTTACATTAATCTTATTATTATTTATTTATTTTGATTAATTATTATATCATAAAAAATTCAACTTTATATTTTAAAATTTTTAAAAGTAATACAAATAAATATATAAATTTTTATATTTAACTTTATATTTTCAGTTCTCACATATATATATATATATACATATTTTTGATGCATAGTTCTCACATATATATTTGTTTTACGTTCTAACAAACATTCCACTAATTAATGTGGGTCGACGACCATTTCTCAAGCAAATACTAGGCAAGTTCAACCATTTTCTCTAGAAAGCTCATTTCACCCTCCACTTAACAGGAAGCTCCGCAAACTCAGTCCAACCTCTTTTTATTTATTTATTTATTAAACAGCAAAGAATTTATTAAATTACAGAGTATAAGGGTACTTAAACCCACGTCCATAATCTATTATAATTTTCTGGTACAGGCCACCAGGATCACCCTATCCACAACTCCAACTCTCCTAACAACGTGATGACCGACCACCGTCAAACAGGAAAATATCAGTCCAAGCTGATAGGGTTCAAACAAACACTCAATATACATATACTCTAAAAGTCATCTTAAACGCAGAGATGTATATATATTTATTTTATTCTCATTACAAAAATTATGAAAATCACGTATCAGTTCAAGTATGAACCCAACATTTGAGAATAAGACGTGTTCAAAGTTATTAATTTCCACACACAAAGTAAAGGTGCGATGGGATGAATGACTTTGAATCAAATGTTGGGAAATGCTCAACACCCCAAGAGAAAAAATGACGAGCAGAAAATTAAACCACGTCAATTCTTGACCCAAAAGAGATTGAATAATTCTATAATCCATCTGCGGCTTCAATGGATAGCCCAAAAACTTCATTCAACCCCTTGAAGCAGCCTCTAGATTAATTTTTAACTAAAATCCAGTCTTCTGAATATATATTACTGATGCAATTTCTTCCTTTGCTTCTTCTTCTTCTTCTTCTTCTTCTCATGGGACACGCATTTGGATTTTTCCACTTTTCGGCTACACACGTGCTTTACGTGTTTTGGTGTACATGTGCTCTGCGCATTCATTTTCACGAAACAAAAATGTATTT